ACATTCTACTCTATATTGTGCTCGTCCTGGAAGCAATAAGATGTATCGAGATCTTAAGAAGCTATTTTGGTGGCTAGGTATGAAAGTCGTTGTAGTTGAGTTCGTAGCTAAGTGTTTGCTATCAGATGGTTAAGGCAGAACATCAAAGGCCTGGTGGTCTGTTGCAGCCCCCTCCCGTTCCAAAGTGAAAATGAGAGAAGATTTATATGGACTTCGTAGTTGGATCACTCAGATCGAAGCAAGGACATGATACTATTTGGGTTATGGTCAATAGACTAAGTCAGCTCATTTTTTACCAATCAAGTTGACCTATTCAATGGATAAACTGGTCAAGATCTAAATAGACATCTACGTTCAACATCATGGAATTCCAACTGTCATAGTATCAGCATGGCATCATACGAAGCACTGGAAAAAAATATAGATCCCCATCATGTTTTTTCAAGGTCAATGAGAGACAAATATTTGGACCACAACTAATGGATCCAGCTACCAAAAAGGTTCGTTGGAATCGAGATCAACTATGCGCAACCCAGGAACGTCAGAAGTACTTTGACCCAAAGCACCAAGAGATTGAAGTCAAAGTCAGAGATCACAATTTTCTGAAGGTTGCACCTATGCCCGGAGTCACGTGATTTGGCCAAACTAGAAAGCTTCAGCCTCGTTTCATTGATCCTATCAAGATGATCGAGAAGATCGGTAAAGTTTCATATCGTTTGGCTCTTCCTCCAAGACTTGCAGGATTACACAATGTCTTCCATGTCTCTCTACTTGGATGAGAAGTGCATGATGATTCTCATATTATTCGGTACGAGCCATTGGGGATTCGATGAGACATGAGTTATGCAGAAGTATCAGATCACATCTTGGAGCATGAAGTTTGACAGCTTCGTCGTCAATCAATTCCTTTTGTTAGAGTAGATTGGAAGAACCAGTCAGAAAGTGAGGCAACTTTGGAGATTGAAGAAGAGAATATCACGAAGTACCCGAAGCTATTCCAAAATTAAATATGAATTTGGGAACTAAATTCTTGTAAAGATGGTAGTATGTAAGAATTGAAAATTTTTCTTACATGTTTCCTTCTGCGCAATTTTTTTCCTTTTTCATGGCTTTCCCAAATTCAAGCTCGCAAATTATTTACTTCCTTCGTCGTTATTTCCAAATGTTATCCTTTCCTTTCACCTTCTTCCATGTCGCCTTCCTGATTTATCGCTCAACTACTGCCTCTTTGTTCTATGTAAGAACGGAGCATGCTACTTAATCCCACTAGCTCCCCCTCTTCCTCTCAACCTTCCTCCTCTCTCTTCCTGATCTTCCTCTCCCAATTTTGCTCGAAATCATTGCCTTCATGACCAAACCCACGAAATATTGTCGCGGTTGGAGCTAACAGAGAAATCTTCAGTGGTATCACGACATACAAAGATCCGAAACTCTTCCTCCTCCTTCCATTCGCTCCTATACCCAAAACCATAGAGGAAGGTAACCCTCACCTTCCTCCCTCTCACCACTTCAGTTTATCTAAACCGCAAGAATCCATCTTCCATGACATTTGTTAAATCCCAATTTATGGCAAATCGGGGAAAAAACAAGACTTAAGAGCATAAAGGATTTAATTCGAAATTTTATGTTGTGATAGGTGTGATGTATGTAAATCTCTCAAAATTTTATTTAGAAATCAACTTTTCTTTTCTTTTTCTTCCCCATCAAGACAAAAACAAGACATTATTAATATTCAAATCCAAATTATTTTAGATTAATAGAAATAATCATAAATAAATAACAAGAATAATAGTAACAATGAATTTCAATTAGGCTATACCTAATTTAATGGTAAAATTTAACTGCTTAATTAATCTTTATGTTTTATTGGAGTAGGATTGATAGTCTAGTTGTCGAATTCGTAGAAGTGTCGCGATTGTCATCTCAAGGTAAGTAACTGTTATTTATTGGAAGATAAACAGGCCCTTCCTAGTTAGAAGTTTTAATCCTTGTCAATTTGTAGTATATTCATAGTTACTCTATATGATTGTCAGTCATGTCCTTATTATTTCAATTGTATTTTTTATAGACTTATATTATTGTTCATAATGGGAGCACTGACTATCTTAATTTATTAATGCAAAGTTTTTTGCATATTTGATTTAATCCTGCAGTGCTTTTTTTTTTTTTTGCATTTGAATGAAATTAAATATGTTATATCACAAGTCTGCATGAAATATTATAATTTTAACATGTCATATCTATGGAAACAATTTGGCATGTTTGTGTGAAATGGTGTGTAGGTCGACAAAACCCATTTGAATTTTGGCTGGCCAGACCGATTGGCCGGCAGAGTGAAGACTTTACAAAAAATCACCGGGTTTTATTGGGTTGGTATTTAAACTTCCCGTTTCAAGATATCTATTAAAACTGACTGTACATGTAAATATATATAAAAGAGAAATGATAAGAAACTTGATTAGAAATAATTGCATGTTTCGTATGATATGCATATGTGATATTTATCCCTCTTGTTTGTCTTATAGTATTACATAAGCACATCGTGATTCTTCCTTGCTTATTGTTCATACTGCATGTCATATTTCTCTTGTCATTTATGTTTTAATAGACAGTTGTTTTTGATATTTTTGCATAACAGCTTTTACTCAGTCACCAGTAAATCTCCATCAGAGTAGACTTTTCAATTTCACTTTCTCAGTTCGGAATTTTTCCTTAGTATTTGTTTTAGCTATTGCATTTTTTTGTTAAGTCTGAATAGTTGTTCCATGTTATCATTTTTTATTTGAATCAGTTAAATTTTTTATTTTCAGTCCAATTGTAGTAGTGAACATTTCAGTATTAATAAAATTTACATTTTTTTTATTTGCAATTCAATCATTTCTTTGAAAATACAAAACAGGTTCATTTCATTCCATCATGTCCCACGTTGTCAATGTGTATCACATTCCGGACCCGGGAGTGATAAATAACATTAACCTATCAGTTTTTCAAACTTATTTTTTACCCAAAATAAAATAATAATTATTTTTCTTCTAACAAACGTCATATTTAAATTTTATAATTATAATGAATAATTTATTGAGTCAAGGACATAGCATAAGTTAGAACCATATTAAGGAAAAGAGAATTAGAGGTTCAATAAATGACATCTATTAATATATGTAATTTCACTGATATATGCAACTAGAAGATAATATAATTAGATAGTAATAAATCACACAATTATCTAAACAGCATTTCACTAAAAGAACATTTTATTTTCAAGGAAACCTACATGGATTAATCAAACAATGATTTTAGGAACTATATAGTATTTTGCTTTAAGTTTATAATAGTTAATTGATATTAGAGCATTAATTATTAGATTAATTGAGGGATTTAGTAATTATATCATCATACATAACTAAAGATAAAAAAAAATCGTTAATACAATAATCAATTTCCAATATAGATGTCTGCAATTAACTAAAACTAAGAATAACCATATACACATGAGGTTAGTAAATAGTAATCATATATTGCATAACTGAATCTAGCAAATAATAAAAATTTAGTTAGAGATTAAATGTTGTTAATTATTAATTATAACCAACCTGATAAGCAACCATACTACAAACTAAGTCAATAATTAAACAGAATATGGTGTTATAATAGTGATTAGTTAGACTAACCCTACAACAACTAAGTTGCTAAAAGTCTTATTTGCGCGATTAAATTATAAAACAAAAGGTGTCAAAAAAGGTGAGGGGATTGATTAGGAAAGATAAGGAAATGAAAACATAGCAAGTGCAGAATTCCATGAGTTTAAAAACACACAGAAGTGTAACAACCAAGCGAGATATTGCAAGAGATTGTGTTGGCAAGACCTTGAAATCAATATCATTAGGTTTCCATTAACAACCCTTTTCTTGTTTCTCTTTTGGTCAAAAAAATAAATTAATAAATAAAATTCAGCCTTGTTGTGTACTCAAACCAGGTAGACATGACAAGATGGAATCTTCGAAAAACTATTATAAGTACAACCAATCTTTGCATGGCTATCTAGGTTAGACCTCAAACGATCGTGACTATATTTAATGCAACCTTATGTATTTCTTCTACATATGCATTTTAGGTATGATTATTGAGATGAATGTAAGCCAAGAATGCATACCCAAGTTGCATACAAACTAGGCATGCATGCCTTAAATTTAAGGAAACCTAAATAAATGTGCCTATACTAGATGAATTTTTGTTGGACCAACTAAATAACGAGAGAGAAAAGAAACTCTAGCAACTACGAATAGAAATCCTAACCTCAGGATCCAATGCATATGATCTTTTTGGGATTAAAAATATGATCCTTGCAGGGACCAGACGTCGGATTAACAATTTCATTAGCCATCCTGTAAGGACCCTATCAAGAGTCATGTCAAAGGGAGTGATTGTGAAGAATTCCATACAAGCACAAGTGAATGCGCAATGGGGGCTCTTAGGTTCATGCCCTCCTTGGCCCTGACCCAAAAATAAAGTCATTAAAGTTTTGTTAATAATCAATGTCCAGCACAGAGAATAATGCAAAGAAGCTTCGCTCGCACAAAAAAAGTCGCCATCCTTTGCGCTTATGTGAAAATCAAGAAAACAAATAACTACATAGTGTGAAAATAACATGGAAACAGTGAATCGGACCCTAGGGATATAGGAACCACGATAATCACGGTTCTTTTAGTAAATCGCAAGTCCCGAGCCGTTTTAATCGAAGAGACTTTCGATCACCGAAATATACATCTAGAAGTAATTTTCTGAACCCTAGTCTTAATCAGGTCCGCAATAGCTTCATAGATCTAGCACAGACATGCTAGACTGAAAAAGTTAAACAACCATCATCTGTACCATCATAGATGAAAGAAAAAAACAACAAAAACAAAAATAAAGGAAAAAAAAAAAAGAAAAACCCTAGATCTTGCTGTGTCTGTGACCTATCAGTGAGAAGATCGAAGAAAAAAAAAGGAATGACGAACCTGCGGCGCCAGTGACGAGAACATGAACTGGATCCTTTGCCATCGGAGCTCGTAAAGACAGTGGCCGGAAATCCTATTGAGAAAGAGAGCGAGCAGCTGATGAAGATGACTCGAGGTATATAAAATTTATTGGGAACGGAGAATCTGTTTCGGACGGCCGGAACCACCCGGGTAAAGCAATTATCTACTATTTTTTCTATTTATTTTTTTTTCAAAAATATGAAGTGCGCAGGACACGGGATTTTTTTTTTCTTTTTATGGACCAAAATTCTCTCCGTGGATAGGAAGATCTCCTCAGCCACAACTTCCTTTGTAAAAGAGTGCTCTTAATTAGTGAGAATTAGCACTGAATCCAGCTGGAAGATCTTTTTATTTACAAAATTTTAAAGCTGATTTTTTGCCATATACAATTTTTTTATATATTTATATAAATATATATACTGGAATAATGATAGACATGAATGTTCTCGATCATATATAATTCATTGATCCATGCAGGAGTAAAATATATCCATCTACCTCGCACATAGCCGACTCCCTAGTTGATTCCATGCAAATTAGCATAAAATTCCTTCACCACAGGAACAACTACGGCGGTTGTAGTGTAGCACAGCACTTTCCATCTTTGTCGCACTATCATCTCTTCAATTTCCGTCGAGGGATTATTCAATCGTCAATTTACGAATCCTCGTTCCTTGATTAATCTTTTCTTCGCCAGTACCATGTTGAAGATTCGTTGCGCTTCCGCACTAATGAACTTTCTCCGGTTGAACACTCACATTCTATGGTTTTCAGGGGAATTGGACACCATAGGGAAGAATTTGGTGGAGTTTCACTTCATTTTTGGGGAAATACGAACGACGATGGCGAGGATGATCTTGGACTTGAACTCCTTCTCAAAGCCTCAAGTTCTCTCTTAAGTCTCCTCTTCATGTGAGGGGTGAGGTTCTATTTATCGTGTTTTGAGTGCAATTAATGCAGGAATATGAACCATTTTGATCGGACGGTCCGGAGAGCTTCCCTTGATCAGATGACATTTGATGGACATTTGAGCGCCTTAACGATGTCGGAATTGAGTAATCTTGGGCTCGTTGGATTCGTCTTTTCGAGATGCTCGATTCGACTATGAACTCGCTAGATTCGACATCTGTTTGACCTTTCAAATGCCTCCGAAAATCATGTAGTAGTGGTTTAATGACTTGATCCGAGCCTGATTTGACTCGGATTGGACTAACTTTTATATCATTAGGTCCGTTTCATCGAGCCAATCAGTTTGACTATAATTTTGCTGAAATCGGAGTTCCGGATGACTCGTAATCGAAGTTTGAATGTTTCTTGCTCAAAATATTGCCTCGAGAT